CCATTGCTGTAAGTGCTGTGCAGTAAGGTCTCTAGTTTAGGGCTCAACGTGGCTTGCAACAGTTAAAACAGAGTTAAACTTACAAAAGTTAAAAAGCAATTAAACCATCATAACATTTGAAACTAGTTAAAACAAATTTTTAAAAAATCACAACTAATGATAGTCCAGCATATTATACATGGCCTCTTTCCACTGAAAAATCAATTCTCAAAAGCCTGCCAGAATAAATAGGGTTAACACTACTTGTGGAAAAGATAGTAAGGAGGGTTCATCTGCCACCTGAAGCACTGTCAGCTATTTCTGATATGTTTTCCAAAACTGTAAATTGAAGAGGAAGGGTGGAGGTTAACATTGGTGAATCTTATATTCAGCACAAAAACGGGGTCATTGCAGAACTTAGAAAATACCCTTTTGGACTATACGACTACCAGTATCTGAAAGCTGTTTACCAAAAAACTCTCTGTAAACTGTTTTGAGTCCTAGCTTCTGGGGGGAAAGTGGGATAAAAATAAATGAAATCAACAATAACAGCCTTTTCCATGCTCAATTACTGGAATGTGTAAGAGTGTGTAAAGAGATCTTATAGCATTTTTGAGACTAACAGAAAGAAATTGGCAGCATGAGCTTTCATAGACTTCAGTCTACTTCCTCAGATGCAGATGGAATGCGTAAGAGTTTCTGTTCAGTGCATTTTGTTTTTTGTTTTTACTGCTGTAATGACAAACAAGGCAAGATCTAAAAAAGAGGATCATGACCATCATCCAGCTTTCACACAGGGTGACTTGACACAGTCTAGACAGCCATGGGAATTTATGTGAAGAGACACATGGCTCCTTCCTGCTGTGTTTGATCCATGACTGGTACTACTGCATTGATTCAGCTTGGGGAACTGTGGTGCCAGCTGAAAACCTAAGCCAGTGATGGATTGAAAAATACATTTTTATCACCCCCTTAGAAGCGGTTCAGCACAAGTGATATGCGGCTGGTTATGGTGAGCCAGGTCTCTTGTGGTTAGTCCTTATTGGCTCTAAGTGATTTTTAAGGTGGATTTAGAAAAGCAGAAACCAAATATCTTGGTCTCTCTTAATGGCAGGTTTTTTTCATACCCATAAGGGAACAAATGTTTTTTTTTTCCTTCTGGTTCTCAGATATCTAGCCAGCTGGCTTATAAGCATAATATGAGTTGTTAGCATTTGGCAATTTCCTGATGAATGGTCTCCAGATCAGAGACTTTGTATTCATCCTGTGGGCTCATTTACAAACAGAGGTTTCAGTCTTTTCATGAGAGGCCACAATCCCCATGTTCCTGCTCTGTTCCTGCCAATATGTTGTGCAAGTCCAACAACCTCTCCAGAAAATCCCAGGCTCCTCTTTTTGTTTCAGTCATGACTTCTTGGAGAACAAGAGATTGTGACTAGAAATCAGACATGGCCGGCTATAAAATACTAATTCAATTACATGATTCATATCATCTTTCAAAGTGTATGAAAAGATTTCTTTCTGTAGAGTGTGTGGTGTCTTGTTTTACTCTCTCACACAAAATGGTAACCAATTACAATGAGCATAAAGACGGCACATGTTAAAATGTGTGGTGTGTCCCATATCCTAGTCTCCAATAGTCATCTTTTTTAAATCAACTAAAGATTGAAATGCCACATTTACAGGTGTATTTTAGGAAGGAAAATTAATAATCCAGTGGGATTGATTAATTTGCCATGGGCCAAACACCTGAAGCTATTCTTTTCAAGTGTTGTTGGCATGTGTTAATATAATCCACCTTTTCTTTACGTAATTTCCTCAATTTTTCAAGACAAAGCAAACAGCTCATAATAATGACACACTCCCCAAAGCCACAACTTAGCACGTGGTGAACTAATTCAAACCAGGCCCACTTAAATTGTGTGTGTTTCCCGCCCCCCTTCTCCTCTTTTTCCCATCTCCACATATAAACTAAATGAGTCAGTCTAAGCTTTCAAGATGGAGGGAAAGTATTCCAATGTTTATGCCTGGAATCCTTGTAAGCATACATGCCACCACTGAATTCAGTGAAACTAGACTCTAAGCATGTTTCATTCATGGTGATTAATCCATGCAAAGCCATCCAAAATTACTTTAAAAAAAAAGGAAGTCAACTTGGTTTTACTTTGGTTTGACTCAAGTTCACCTACAAGATGGGATACAACTATGGTTAAGGTTCAGCTCCATTTAAGATTTTTAAAAAAACCAACCAAACTCATTTCATTGTTCATATACACTCCATGGGCATCCTTGCATTGACAAACAATAGCAATTCCCTCTGGTACCCTGAGAGTGAGGGAGCCAGATAGGTATAGTGGTTTGAGTCTTGGACTAGGATTTTAGGAAATGAAGGTTCAAATGCCCACAGCCAAGGAAACTCTGTGACCTTGGGCAAGTCACACTCTCTCAGCCTAAAAGGAAGACAACAGCAAACCTCCTCTTGAAGAAATCTTGCAAATGCTTCCCTCCCCTTGATATGTTGCCTTATCAGGTTTTAAGGCACATAACAACAAATCGGGGGGGGGG